ATATATATATATATATACAATGATCCCCAGTGAACTACCTCCAGGAGAGTCCCTACCCTCACTTAAGTCCAGGTAAATGCAATTCGATGGGATTTGGCTTGAATAAATGATACATTGTGAGAGACCTTTTCCAACTCCCAACAAAGACTGTTCTAGGTTTGAGCGCTTCCCCTTCCAACGAAGGCCAGGATTCAAAGTTCTTGTTCTAGATTTTCCCATAAAATGTCACCAAGTAGACACGCGGCCACCGCTAATACACAAAAAATTGTTTCCAACGATGATACGGTATTTGAAAATAACTTTCAGGCAAACAAACTTGAGATATGACAGTAATTCATCAAAATGAACTCCTTCATGCAAAGGCTACTTCTCTGAAGAGGGGCAGTGGCGATGCCCATCAACCACAACCAAGTAGACAGATCAAAGTATATTCTTTTTAGCCTGATGGAATATGGAAACCTAATCAATTGCATGCCAACGAAAAGTTGAACCTAGCGGGAGAGACACAGCAAAGTACGTTCAGCTGATTTCATTGCGCTCACTGGGGAATTTCTGGATTTTTGTGTAGTCCATGTTGTCAGTTTGTCAAGCACCAGCCCACAGTGTACAACTGTCGCGAGTTTTATAAACGATACTTGAAGAGTATAAACAGAAAAATTTCAAAAAGCATCTTAAACACCCAATTTAATTAATTTTACACATAAATACCCTTAACGTGGGCCCCTCCGAATAAAGAAGAACAAAGTACATTCCGTCCCACGTTCCACAGGTCTACTCTACTAGGTGAAGACTCTTGCTATATGGTAATACGATAACATCTAGCTTGAAGTAGTGGATATGACAACACAGATCTGCTTTGGTTAAATAAAAGTGTCTGACATAAATTCAGATGCACACATTTACAATCAGACAGAACCCTCCAAGAGAGGATACCCTATCCTAAAGAAGAAGGTCCCACTCAGGTCTCGTGAGACCAGCTTTGAACTTGCTACCTCATCGAACGCTACCAGCCTCCCTCTCAGAACAGACCGATCTCAATATTCTAATGGCCAACAATGCAATGCCAGCAAAGACCAGGATGCGAAATTTGTGCACACGGCTTTTGTGTACTTTCACATTAACTAAGTGTCTGAGCAATGGCGGGAAATTAGTATCGTTTCTTTTTTGTGGTCTGGGACCGTACAACTTGATTTTTGTTTGTGTAGCATGCAATTACAACACGGTCCTCTGGGTAAGGATCGCCGTTCAGATGTGACTAGCTGTGGCTGGTCGCTTAGAAGTTACTCGGGCTGTAAGCTCCGTCCTACAAATGAAGAAACATCAAAAGAGATCACATTGGGTGGCTCCCTGTGGTTTCCATTCAGGGAAGGCTTACAGTGCTTGCGCTAGGAAGGCTTTTTGTGAACGCCGATTAGAAGTGGTCTCTATAAAGGGTATGTTTCTAAATGAACGCTAGCCATTTTACACATGTCTTCTTGAGTGGACCATCTAACAGGCCAATTAGAGAAGGTCTCTCTTTTGATGAAGTCTGCTACTGAACTATGCTATGAAGCATAGTTCACACAAGGTTATTTCTTCCGAAAAGGGGATTTTAGGGGTATGCAGATGATAGGTCACCACCACTCCAGCCTCTGGAGATTTCTGTGGTGCAGGAACTTTTACTTGAATATCGGTTGATGATGCCACACCGTGCACATCAACGCCGTCACCTGTTTGTCGACCAAACACTGCAACAGGCAGCCTCCATACTATAATTGTTCATCACTGAACGGGACTAACAACAAGATCGCGCAGAAATGTGAACCAAAACGAGAATATCTGGTGCAAGTTCAATTGACACTTATGAGATAATGGCCTTTTAACTGCTTCTTGCTAACTTTTACTGTGGTGGCGACGCCCCTAGACGACTTTTGTTATACTGAACTTGCCTCAAAGAGGGTCAGGACATTGATGTCTTAGATTTTATGTATTATTTTATTAATTTAAGAATTTCTGGTATACATGGTATCACTTAGCTCATATTGTCGATAAAGGGAGCTTTCTCGCAAAAGAGCCCACCGCCTCGCAGTCAGGGCTATTCAGACGGTTCCCCATAAATGGTCTTTTCTTGCCGGGAGGTCTTTTGCTTACGAGGGAGTGGTTTTATGAAAGTTTCATTCGCACACTCTCACTATTTAGAGTGGTCAATTTTTTGAAGGACGAGTACACAATCCAAAGATGTTCAGGACATTAAGTTCCCCCGATCCAATACAATGGTTCTGTAAGCTAATAACCTTAACTATCTCACAATGCAATATAGCGCAAACAAATTGTTAGTATACTGATTTTACTATCTATTTCTTAACAATATGGTAAGATTGTTCTGTAGCTGTGTGTTGTAGGGCAACATTTATCGATCAAAAAACGATTCAAACTTATATAAGAAGTAATTTTGCTCTTCACCTTTTAGTTCTCTGAGCCCCATTGCGTTCCTGCAAAATTTGGTCATTCTATAAAGAGTGATTGCCTCAACAGAGGGAAGAGGTGATCTTGTCCCATAGTTGTCAGTCTTTGAAGTTAGTGCACACTAAATCACAGAACTGAGTGGTTCTCATTCAGACTGTTCTCAATCTTTTAACTTCTCAAGATGTTTTCCATTGCACTTATCCAGACGTATAACATGCACCACTGTGAAATGATGTTTTGAGTGGATTTACGGTTGGACATCTTCATCCTGTTCATGCCAGAATAGGATGCGGGCTGTTCAAACCAAAATAAGGCAGATAGAAAATCTGAAAATCTGAAAAACGTCTGAGCCACATTGCCGTTTTCAGGTACGAAATAAACCATGTATTTGCTTAGACATAGGCGGAATCATTGGCCAATTCTGATTAAAACACTACTTCCACTAGAACTATTGACCCTACAGTCAGTCGCTCTAATGCAAAATAGCGGAGAGAATAACTCGATGGATTATGCAATTGTACGGCATCAACTTCTGTCGTTGCATTGCGTTCGTACAGTTTTACAGACCTCCCATTAATAGCACAGACGGGTCCAGTTTAACCAGTAGCCTCAAGTAAAATGGTCATTAGGAGATTACTGTGGATAGCTAGAAGGAATCGTTCTATTATTCTTGTTTTGTGTCCTGGCATCCAGCCCATCAAACTTAACACAGGTGGGCCAGATATCATCCGCTTTGGTAAGGGTAAAGCTATCGCACAGTCTATGCCTTGATGCTACCAGGTTACTCGAGCCTCGTTATTGAGCGTTACACTCTTCGTTCTTCGCGCGGACATGGTCATCTGAAGCAAGTTGGTTGGCTGCGATGCTAGTCAGTGAAAACGTCCCCAAGTGTGAGTTATTTTAATCTAAACTGTTGCGGTGTCAGGGCTACGGGTACAATGGGTGATTAACAGGGGGAGAGTGTAAGGAACCTTACTGGGTGTCCCATTTCAATAAATGCAAACGCTTCTGCTCAGTCAACAGAGTAGGAGAACTAAAGTAGGGGAACTTTGAAGAGCACAAATCTGGTTGTCGAAGTTTTAGACGTATACTGCTCGATTTTTGAAGACTGAAAAGCTGGAGTGTTTCAATACTGCAGAAATATTGTTTTTTTTTACTCGCAAAATGGTAAAACAATATTTCTTCCGGCGAAATGAACTTTTTCACTTCAAAGCCCTCTTTGAGAAACGAACACCAGAATATAGCATGGAAAACTCTCCCAGTTCGTTTTAGTCTGTTGGGTTGGAACAAGCTCCAGAACAGCTCGCGTCATCTCTTGGCCAGAATGAATTTAACCCGGTCATTCAGGAAGCGAAGATGGAGCTGGGCGTGAAGTAAAGTTGAAAAAACCGAAGCAGACCTCAAAACTGTGAATAAGTGACTTGAAATATCTTGCAGACTGAGCTCATTAAGGCTAAAAAACACCGAGCCTGTTTTGAATGGCCCCGTAAAACGCGGACAGACTGATAATGAATAATAAAGATTATGGAACGTCATTTGTGACTGACCTCATATAATTGGGACGTTTTTAAGTACGTGAATGTTCTCATTCGTGGTGTTTCACTTCACAACACCACCGATGGAACGATACGGAACCCCAAGACTTATTTTAACTTTCTTATCTTTATGAGGTGGTGATTTGCATAGTCTCCTCTTCTGGTTACTTTAAAGAAAGAGGTTTAAGATATCTTTATCCCAGGGCTGCACAATCCACTTTCTGAAAGTATCCGCCTGTTCATATTTTGGGTTGGGTCTTGACGAGGCATTCTCTTTATTGGAATAAACTAGGGCTTCATTCTATCGGATTTATTATCCACCCGACCAGGAACTAACCCAAAAGTGAGATGAACCCACTCCCAA